TTATATATATAATTTATATATATGTAATATATATATATATATATATACTACATATATATAAGGGTGACGGTTCGAGTGAACAAAGAAATATCCAACGTGGTCCGACAGACAGTCCGGTTGGATGAGCACCTAAAACAGATATGGCAAACCGGTGCAGAAGAAACAGACAAGTCGTCCAATTATACTTTTTCGTATTTCATCCCTTAATTTCTTTCGACAGTACGGTAACTTTCTTCGCTGTCGAAGAACCGTTGACTTCGTGAACATTGAGCAAGCTGATGACTGGAGCCTGGACGTCACTACCAGAGTACAGTAGGTGATGCGCGCAAGGACAAAGTAAATATCCACGGAAGTGAAACGACAGCAACATGGGGTCATACCTACTTTCGAAGGAGTTTTGATTGGGGCGCAAAAGGATTTTTTGAGATGATAAACAGCCCTGTTCATTAGAATCGAACGACAAACCTACCTCCATAATATGCACGCCAGCCAGATGAATTGCTCGATGGAGCAGGCCGTATGAACAAGTGGCGTTCCGACCGGTTAGTCCAATCCCATGGTAATGACCGCCATCACTGCCCCCGGGTAATCGCGAGCTCGTACCTGAACCAATGCGAACCGGGCGGAAGCCAACTTCAGACTGAATATACTGCGCATAGTGAGCTAAAAATGTTGAGCACACACGACGTTCCCAACTGTTCGATGTGTTCACATCCAACCCCGGTGCTTCACCACTTCCTGGGAACCACGAACTCTGTGCGTTATCCAATACTGTACGGGTTCCTGATCCAGTGATTTCACCGAAAAGCGGATTGCGGGACCAACTGAGCCACGGTGACGCAGAATGTAAACCAGCCATACTGACTCGAGATTGAGAGACAGAAATTTGAGATATTTCGTTTGATGTGGGAGCAATTATACAACTGTTGGATGGAGCGGGGTGTGGATAGAGTAAAACAGTGGGTGCGATAAGCAGATTCACAGAGAAATTCATTTCAAGATTGGGCCCCGTCAGCCAATGCCAAACAAACGATATTTAGTACAAAAGCCATTAATCACATTAGCATCGAAAGTCTGGAAGAGAGACGGTAACGTACACACAGAAATACAGCTTAAAACTATACAAAAACGTCTATTTTGTCAATTTAACTCCATTATATTGACGGATTTCTCAGAGCACGCTTGACCGCATATACGCTCGGATATTTCGAACGAAGGAGGATAGGTGAAACATGTCACCGATGGAGTGCTGATACTGTAATTTTATGGAGTGAATTTGATAAGGACAACGGCATGTCAAGACGAGAGTTGAGTGAGAAAATTGTGTAATCAAGACAGAGACCAAAGTCCTGGGATCCGAAAGTACACGATGGTCAGAGAAAAGCGTACGATACAATTATGCTTTATATTCCAGGTTGCATGAGAAAACAATGCGGAACCATGGTATTAATTGTTGAAGACGTTAGGAAAAGAGACACGCGATTGTGAACGGATAAATCGTCTATTGGCCTCCACGCTTGTCTTATTGATTTCCTTTCATTTACTTTTTCACTTACACATTTGGCGTTGAGCTTGTCATCTGAAGACAGCAATCAGAGCTAGTGCAGTGGATTTTGAGCTTAGAGGTCAATCGTATACCAAATAACTAATACAATCCTTAGTCATGCATCGACACGTGCTGTCCACGATAATTGCACTACAGTGGCAGGTCCACCGATAAGCCCAGGATGCGAGATGTTGGTCTCGTCTGAACAGCCTTTAAGGGATACCGGCTACATTTCAATGCGGCACAACGAAATAAGCATGTTTAAATGAGGAAGTGTAACATCGAGCACAGTGCAATCGTTCACATAATGCATTTTCAACACTGAAACGGAGAATCAGAAAAACAACTTACCTCTGTGCTCGATGAACACCGACACCGGGAAGCCATGAATTTGTGACCAGATCACGCAGTTTTCCGCTTGGTGGCTGATCAACTGAAGAGACGCTGGTTTTCGCAGTCGGCGTTTCGCTTGCCGGCTGGTCGGGTTTAGCGTGTGCACTAGGTAAGCAAACGGAGTCATGAAACCACTGATAGCACGCCTCAGCGACTTTGTTCAGCACGACGGTCTCGGACTGGGTGAGCTGAACTGCCTGCGCACGCACTCGCGGACAAAACAGTATCGGTGTGCAAATAGTGTGTAGATGTCGACAAGCGAGTCTCATGGCTGAGAATCGTTTGAGTTGTTTGCTGACGGGTTCGTTGGCCAACAACGTTTCCGCCTAAATGGAGGAAGGGTGAAATTGGTGAAATTCAACTGGAATGCAAGATAAATTGATAAAAGCCAAATGCTCACAATTTCCCGTTGTTGCACTTGGAAGAAAGATGGTTTTATGAAACTACTGCTGATATGCGACGGTGATACTATGTTGCGCAAACTGTGGTTTTCGATGAGCGCAATCAATCTACTAAACACGGAAGTAAAGGATACCCCCTCCACTTTATAATTAACACTCTCAAAGTCCCAAAGATAGCATGCTCCAATTGTATTTATCTCAAAATCTATGCTAACGCAGCTTCAGAATGTGAAGGGGTTCGCATCGCAACTTGCAACAATATGGAACACTTGTATTACTTGTATTAATTAAGTGGGCAATAGAGAACAACGATGTAATTCATGAGTCTAAATATAGATAGATAGAAATTACACCGGCTTGTAAACAAGCATGGTGCCAACGCCACAACAATAATAACAATATTAACAACGGTAATAACATGGGGCGGGTGAGTTGAAATACAGAGTCAAAATGGTCTATGATGAATGAAAACTATGTTGTGCGTAGGAATTTGAAAAAACCAAATAAACCAAATCACTAAATTGCTAAAAGTTGCTCAATAGTTGCTCAAATAGTAACCAGTATCCATTGCCTCTGAAAACCCAAGGATGGTCTTGGGTTGTGACTGGTCACCCTTCCCGTGTACCTCTCGAAATGCTCCTATACGACCAGGCGCCTTCTGTTGAACAACTCCAACTCACTGACTTCACATGGGGGTGTTATCCCACCAAAATGAGGAGATGAAAAGCCAACATCTGGGGCTACAGTCGGGGCGGTGAACCACCAGTAGCTTACCTGAGGGAGTTGGTTAAAGCTCAGATTCAAAACCAAACAAACAGATGCATATGAACCATACGAACACACACATGCACACTTATCAGGTTACGACATGTTTAGGCATCTCTCAAAACGGTGTACGATTCGATAAATTGGACATCGGTCAGAATGGATTGCGATTTTCACACACCGCCCCACTGCCTTACCGGTTGGGTTTAGCTAACCAAAAGCTCCAGATGTGACCTGCTTTGGCCTCGGTAACTGGGCCGTATTCCGCTCACGAACAAATTGTGAACCTTTTCCTTTGGTATAAAGATTACCGTATTGTGCTTTACATGGTACACATTCTGGATTCAGATGTGTCTGAAATCACCCCTATTTCATACATATACGCAGTAAGAAAATGCGGTACACTCAGCAAATATTTATAAGAAATATGCGCATAGCTCTCTAATGAAATGAAACGCATGCATATTGCATCAATCGGAACATCAGTGCCAGCCAACCTGAGCTTGAAATCGCCCAAAACCAAATCAAAAACATACGTCAGAAATCCGAAGGCTAGATTGGAACTTGGCGTTGGTTACTCC